ACACACACACACACACACACACACACACACACACACACACACACACACACAAAAAAAAGGGTATTAGTCACCAGTTAGGTTAGACATTTTTCATTGCTACACAAAAATCATCATCTCTATATTCTTGAGTCATTTAGGGAAAAGACTTCCGTATGTAGTGCTGACATGAGACAGTTTTCCAATTTCATTGAACAATGTATGACTGCGCAATGACAATAAAGAGGTATCTTATCTAAAGTGATATTTTTAGTTATGGAAGGAGAGCGTGATAACTAAGAGGTTTGGAAAGAAAAGCATCTGGACTTCTTTAAGTCGATTGAAGACGTTTCACCTCTCATCCAAGAAGCTTCTGCTTCTGAAGAAGCTTCTTCAGAGGCTTTTCTCTTCAAGCTCCTTAGACTACGATGACTGAGAGCCTTCACAGACAGAGCTTGATAACCTTTTCGCTAGAACAGCAGATTTGGGATAGGTTAAATAGATACATTTTACCCTAATGTCGTCGCCATCCAGAGTTGCAGATCCAATCGCCTTCAGTCTTTCATCTGTCCAGTAGACCCTCTCAGAGACTGCATCTACAGCCACACCACCCGGCCAGCCCAAACTCGAGTTCACCAGTGGCCTCCTCTCTGACCCATCCATCCCAGCACGCTCAATCTTCACTACATTACCAATCTCTGTCCAGAACATCAGCCTGATGAAATAAGAGACCACGAATGCCGCTTACTGCAAAAACTGAAACAGTTCTGTCTTTTTTTTAAAAATTCATATCAACCCTTTTTGTGGTAGCAGGGCAAGAGAGCGGGGCTGATCCAAGTCTTCATCCAAGATGATGCTTTGGTACAGTGAGCTTGCAGAGGCTGCTGCCAATCTGATGGCAGCAATATAACTCTTCACCCCATTGATCCAGTACAGATTCCTCCCGACCCAGTCCACAGCTATAGAATCAGCCTGAACACCTGTTGAAACAAGTGGCATCTTGTTTCCACATGTGTTCCTTGATACAACTTTCAGACATGAGTAAACTGACATTCCTCTGAATGCTCCAGCCACATTCGAGTTGTACGAACCTTTAATCAGACTTCCTGTCATCTTCTGATCTAGAGAAGACCACATTATAGCAGCCATCTCCAGACTGACCCAGAAGACCTTCTGACCTTTCCAGTCATAGTCTAGAGACAAGACTGCCTTCTTTGCAGAAGAGGGCAATGTAACCAAGCTGTGACTACGCAAGCCATACAAGTAGATATCCGTTTGGATTGAGGACAACAGCAGGGGCTCACCTGAGGGATAAGAAAATGATCATAATGCATAAGTTATTCGACACTGAGGTTTTTTTGCTCCATTTCACCTTTTTAATGTTGATTTTAAAAAAAAAATAAGACTCAATAAATGTGAGCAAAATCTTGTGAAAAGGCAGGGGAGAGTCTTTCAGCAGAATGGCTAGATTTTTGTAATGCTATTAAACACATGATTTTGTGGTTTACATATTTGCCTGACACACAAAAGATGCCAGTTTGAGGAGAGCAGGAAGTGAGTCCCTCAGAGGGTTGTATCAGGAAAGTCCTCCAGATAAAAATCAAATATGCAGATCCATCTGCTGTTGTCACCTCTTCTGACTAAGGAAGCAGCTGAAAGAAGCTTTTGTATAGGGATATTACAAAAATAAAAATATTTCACCAACTGTGAGCCCACTGCTTCTCCTCCCTCTGATCCTTGCCCTTATTTGGCACGAGATTTCTTTGGGTAGCTTGTGAGCGTGAGAATGAAGTGAAAATGTGTCACACACCAGAAAAATGAGTGTTCCTCACCCTGTATTTACCCCCGCTTCCAGTTTGTGGTCTCCTGCATGTGGCTTAGTGTTTCAACAGACATGCATGCGTACTCGTTAAAAATGAAAATAAATAAAATGGGTGCAACTCCCAAAATGTCCTGCTACCCATATGGAAAAGAAATAAAAAATAAAAAAACTTTTATAAGAGTTTTGTATGAGGTGTGGTCTTTTTTATATTGTGTCTTATAAGGCTTATATGATTTACTCATGAAAGTGGCCACTTTCTCATTACTTTCATGTTGTTTTAGTAAGTATCCAAAACATACAAGTTTCATTTATATAATCTTTCAAGGGCTCTTATCTGTTTTCACTCGTGTGCTTTTCATACAAGTTTCACACAAGACAGATACAAACTTTACATATAAATCTGCTTTTGTCATATTTAACAGAATGTAGCAAGAATGTTATTAATCTTGAAATGGGGCATGGGCAAAAGTCAAACCCATTTGCTTTTGGTGTGGCTGCAGCGTGCTGACATTTTCAACTTTGTCCAGTTCCACTTCAAGAGTGACAACGCCATGCTGTTTATTAAAGGGAGCTTTACCAGTGATTTTGCAGTGGTGTCCATCTGCTTCCATTATAAAGCCCGGCTGACAGTCACATCTGTACGAGCCTGGAGCGTTGATGCATAGCTGACTGCACACACCTGGAGTCTGAACTTCACACTCATCAACATCAGCACAGGCCAGCCCATCCTCCATGAGCCTGAAACCTGCTGCACAGCGACAGCGCTAGAGACACCAAATGCAGATCTAACATTTAGATTACTCACTTTGAGTCACTGCAGGCTCATAGCCTTCATATACATCTTTACTGGATCAACAAAAGGGATCGTTTATCCAGAACAATCAGACTTTACATGGCAATATTGCTACATACACCCTTCAATCCATTTTCAGGCACCGTCTCTGCTGGGTGAATTTGATCGAGCACACAGAATTTTAAAGACAGACTTCTCACCGGTCCCTGAGGTGTGTTGTAGCAGCCCTGGGAGCAGTGCATGATATTTTCCTCTGCACAGTCTGTATGGCAGCTTCCTCCCTCATCTGAGCCATCTGCACAGTTTGTAATGCCGTTGCACACCAGGTTTGGATCCAGACACTCCTGACTGCCACACTGGAACTGGTGAGGGGCACATGTTACAGCCGGACCTGTAAACATGAACAGCATTCATGTACACAAGTTTAAGCAGCAGTTTAAATTACATGACTATCCATTTACTACTCTTCAGCTAGAATTTACACATTACAGGCATTTTACAGCTCATATAACTAAACATCCCAATTTGAATTAAAGAATTGGGACAGTCTCATTTTGCAAATAGAATATTCTCAGACAAACATCGACATATTTTATGTCCTCTTTTATACTATGTGCTAAACAGATATAGCAGGTGGTAAAACTGGAATAAGATAAAGACCCTTACTGCTACAAGTTTTCACATTGATGTTTAATTCTGTGAATAATTCTAAATTTACTCACATTCAGTCTCGTCACTGCCATCATTGCAGTCCTTCATGCCATCGCACAGCCAGGCTTTAGGGATGCACTTGGTCTTGGATTTGCACAACCACTGGAACTCTCCACAGTTCACTGGAGCCACAGGACAATCCTGAAAGTCCAATTAAATTTTAATCATCTAAACATGCACTTTACCACTTCACTCCTGATCATGGAGGGAGAGAGAGAAAAAAAAAAAAACTGCAGGAGGCCAGCTGAACATTTAGCCCATCAGAGGACATGCAGCAGTTTTAAAGGAGAGTAAAGTACTATTCAACAACATGCAGAAACCCTGCTTCATGTCTTCTGAACCTGACATCTAAACTGTCAGAGGAAGAGGGGCATGACAGTAATACACCAACATCGATGTACACTGCAGCTAACATCTAATGTCTGGTTTTATTTACAATGATTTCCCCTTCATTTATCCACAAACAGGACCTGAACTAAATCACTAGCTCCTTACAAAAAAAAAAAAACCCAAAAAAAAAAACACCACTCCCCAAATCATTTTTAAAAGATTTTTTATGGTTGCTCCTCAAAGTTTAGCATGCATGAAGCTGCTTTTTAGCATCCACCTTCTCATCAGTGCCATCTCTGCAGTCCTGGTCTCCATCACAGATCCACTCCTGCACTAGACACTCCTTGCTCTGGGGACAGCGAAGTTTGGTCTTGCAGGCTGGCACTTTGGTGCAGTCTTCCTCATCCGAACGGTCCCGGCAGTCTGGGTGACCGTCGCAACGCATTGCGGCCAACACACACTGGCCACTGGTACACTTGAACTCTGTGTCACTGCAGTCCTCCTTTTCTATATTGACAAGAGGGAGGCAAACAAAGCATTAAAGATTACTCATATGCAAGCAAAGCTGAAACCAGGTAGGACATTAGTATGCCCACATACCACACTTTGCCTCATCACTGCCATCAGAGCAGTCACTTTCCCCATCACAAAGGAAGCTACTGGGAATGCAGCGGCTTTTGTTGTCGCATTGATGAGAACAGCCCTCCATGTACTTTGTGCATTCTGCTTCATCCGAGCGGTCCTGACAGTGAGGCACACCATCACACACCTGGCTCTTCTCAATGCACATCCTTCCATGGGCACACTGGAACTGGTCTACAAAGGACAGATTGTATAATGATTTTTTATTATGTTCACATTAATCTCTCACTTGGGCTCAGGCTTGTAGTGCATACATCTGTAAATCTACAAACACATAGACCATCCTACTGCATACACATTAGATTGTTTGTAACTGTCCAGCTTATCTGATGATACAAATATCATCTGGCAGTTTGAGCTTCAGTTACAATAAGAGATTTTAATCCTAAATTCCACAGTTAGGTCTACATTTATTGATCTGCATATAGTGCCCTGGCTCCATGTAATGTCAGAGTTTGCAGTGGCAATGCTGGGGGGCTCAGCTCCCAATCATAATGTCATATATGCAGTGCCTTGTAATTATCTGTGTCATGAAATTACCTCAGCATCGTCTTTCTGCCGCAGGAACAAGAGTTATTAGACTGTTAATGACAAACCTGGCTCTGTGTGAGTACACTGTAACATCATGACATCATCAACACTGGATATCTAGCCTGTTTTCATTCCATCCTGTCATCTATAGAAAAGTTAGAAAAATATAACTTAAGAAAATACTATCGCTATAGTAATTTTTAGGGGTGCTCTGATAGTAAAAAGCCAAAGTGTCAACTGGCCATGCACCAATACTGATGTGAAACTAGCGTTGCTCACTAGATGGCAGTAAAGCCATATTAATAACAAGCAGATGACAAACAGGTTACCCTTTTCACAAGACGATGAGCATTTTGCCTCATCTGAACCATCTCTGCAGTCTGCTTCACCATCACAGAAATAGTGGTTCTGGATACACTCCGAGTTGTCACTGCATGGTATGAAGCCGAAAGAACACTTAATGGGGTGAGAAGAGGTGGACTGTTTAGAAGGGCCAACCAAGACTGTAGGCACAGAGGTTGTAATGGTCTCTTCTTCCTTTTGGTCTTCTCCTGGATACATAATAAAAATAAAATAAAAAATACAGCAGGGAAAGCATTATAATTCAAAACCAAAAAAAATAAACAAATGCACAAGTCCAACATAAAAACGAGTGTCAATTCAGTACTATAAATACATCAGAAGGTACCACAAGTGGCTTCATCTGTGCCATCTGTACAGTCCTCCTCGCCGTCACACAGGAAGTTTGCAGGCAGGCAGCGGGTCTTGTTGTCACAGTGATGAACACAGCCCCTCATTAGCGTCACGCACTGAAGCTCATCAGAGCGGTCCTGACACTGAGGTACACCGTCACACACCTGGCTCTTCTCGATGCACATCTTCCCATGGGCACACTGGAACTTATCTGCTTGTGTGCAGGCATTACAGGTGTTACAGTCACATGCACAATCGTAGTTCTTCATAAAACATAGTACCATAATAACCCCAATAGAGCACCTTGTCTCCAGAATTCTGGTTTACTTGTGGTATTTAAAAGTACAATAGGAGGCAAAGCCTTCAGCCTTTAGGTCCCTTATCTGTGGAACCAGCTCCCAGCTTGAATTCAGGAGATAGACACCCTTTCTACTTTTAAGATTAGGCTTGAAAGTTTCCTTTTTGATTAAGCTTAAAGTTAAGGCTGGATCAAGTGACCCTGAATCCTCCCTTAGTTATGCTGCACTAGGTCTAGGCTTCATTGAGTGTTTCTACTTCACTCACCATGCATTTAATCATTAGTTATTATCTCTGGCTCTACATCCCCTCACCCTGAACTGTTTGTGGCAGATGGCTGTCCCTGAGCCTGGTTCTGCCAGTGGTTTCTTCCTGTCAAATAGGAGTTTTTCCTTCCAGCTGTCACCAGGTGGTTACTTCTAGGGGGTAATCTGGCTTCCCCTCAATTATTGTATGGTCTTTATTTGTGCTTTAACGTGACTGCCGTTGTGATCTTCAACTACTTCTGCTACTCAATTTGTCTAATCTAACATACACACTGTCTCATACCTTTGCTGCATGATGTTTCACAATCCTCTTCATCTGAACCATCCATACAGTCCCGCTCTCCATCACACAGATACCTGTAGAGCACACACTCTGAACCATCTCTGCACAGTTTAGAGTCCCGGGTGCAACTTCTGAGACCACTTCCAGCAGAAAGAACTACATGAATTAAGTTGAGAGAAAAAGGACAAAAAAAAAATGTAGTCACTGCAAAATTAGAAGGTCTAGAAAAGCAGTTTTGGTAGCCCCACACTCACCCTGTAAGGAGTCTGATAATAACACCAGACAGAGAAACAAACATCCACCCATTGCCACAAAAAAACAAACACAGGCCAAAAGAGGTGGATAGATGTAGCGTTTTATAATGACACCAGGTGAAGCCAATATAACCTAATTGAACACCTGCCCCAGGGGAGGAGCTATTGGTTCTGACTAAATTTTCAGCAAACCTGATAGCTCTAAAGATACATTTTCATAAATAAGCCGGAGTGAAAAATAAAACTTATCCTATTTTTCAATTTACTATTTAATTTTGTTGGGAAAATGTAAATAATGATAACCCAAGTAATAAAAAAAAATGCTGCTATGAACCGGTTTTGCTTTCAATCCTCCGTAAACGATGACAGATATAAACACATGCTGTCAAATAAACAAAGAAGATTGTCAAGGACAAGAGCCAGTATTCAGTTACGTCTTCGTCCGATCCTCCAATCACGTTTTTGATAGGTGGGCCTAATCGCTTGCCCGTAGCCAACAGGTTTGTTGTGTTGTTCCGGTCTAGCTAACATAGCTAACTAGCTTGTGTAGCATTGGTGGCAAGTTGAGAAGAGCCTTGTCAAAATTAGCTGCAGTACAGCAGCGTTCATGTATTTTTATGTCACCAAGGCGTTTAGAGAGGCGCACATCTCTTCCTCGGAAACTGGAAGCTGGAATTTTCAGACTGGGGTAATTATTGGAACGTTTAGAGCGGCTTTCTTGACTTTGAAGCGTGTTGTTTTGTGTGGGAGATGTAGCTCCGGTAGCCAGCGGGAGACAGGGCTCAGTTTGGAAGAGTTCGTCCAAGATGCTAGCTCATTTTACTATGTTTGAGTAAAAGACACAGAAAACGGGTAGCTTTATTCAACTGATGGACTACATTGTGTATACCCTTATGGTGACATTTTGTGAGATTGGATAAATTGTGTCTTATCTGTATTTGACTGCCTGATGGTAGGTAGAAAAGTAGCGCGACTTGACTGTTGCGCATAGGAGGCTGTTTCGTGGATCACAACAAAAGGATTTTTGGTAACAAGCTGGCAGCTAGCTTGCTTAAGCTAACGTTAGCTGCCTTAGCTAGATTATGAATTCTCCGTAAACTACCTATCGTTTATTGAATTTCATTATCTGTGGCTTTTATTTGCATTTCGCTCTTTGCTTGATTTATTACAGAAATTCACAAGCTAGCTCTGATAAACTGGTTTGGTGGTGACTTGATCCAGGCAGGGCCCCTATCAGGCAGCTAGCAGCCGGCCTTCCAAAGCCAGTCAGTGTTAGCACTAACTGGCTGTCACAAAATGCTCTCACATTGATTTGATATGATTCACAGCGCCCTTTAACAGTTTGTCGTGCTAGTTTCTGGGCACGGAAGAGACACACCGGGTCTGCTAACTTCATTGTTTTGCAAGCTAAATAGTTGAGGTGCCAGGCAGTGTTTGACTAGCTAACATCAGGTGGGCATTTCTTTACTTCACACAAGAGTCAGTGCTGCTGACAAAACGGTCCTGCTTATTTCTTTTTGAAGTAACGGTGTCTAGTACAATAGTGTGCAAAAGGCTTAAGCCCGCCCTCATTTCTTAACATTTTTCTTTTGTTTTTTAAGTGGTTTTGAACAGTAGTTCTCCGAGCTTTCTGAGGGTGTTTCAAAGGTTTTCTTTGGATATTGGCTCCCTTTTTACTCATTTTTAGCCTAGACCCTGTCCCGTTGTTTGTTAAACCATTCTCACTGACCTATGACTCATTCATACATATTTGTATCTTAAGTGATGCCTAAAGTGTATCTTTAGGCAGCCTCATAACACAACTTGTTCCCATTCCTTTAGTTAAATATTTGAGAAATGCAAAAGATGACTTGCCAGCATAAACTAGTATTAAGTAGAAATAGCTGTGGTGTGCCACATTACACAAGAACTGGACTGGAAATCAGTGGCAACAGGTTTTATGGAGTGGTGAATTCAAATTCGAATTTCTTTTTGTTTATATCAATAAATACAGATATGGCATATTGGTGAGCACCTACAGCAATTTGTAAAACATGGTGGAGGCTCTGTCATGGCTTGGGGCTACATTTCCACTAGCAGTGTTTGGTATCTTGTTCAAAACCGGTGAAATGACAGGCATTAAAAAGTACCATCAAGAGCAAATCTGACTGGTTGCTGCTTAATTTTACAACATGACAGTGATCCCAAACATACTGCCAGTGCAGTAAAACCATTTCTGGTTATAAAAACACACACTGGAGCAAAGTCAGTCATGGACTGGCTTCCACAGATCCTTGACTTCAGCATTATTGAACAAGCATAGGATCATCTTGAGAGAGAACAGAACAAAAGGCAGACAAAATCCAAAGAATACCATCAAATGTCCTTCGGGAATCCTAGAGAATTATTCCCGAAAAATACTTAAAGACCCTAAAGGTTTTTGCCTTATAAACTGTATTTCATTTCTGTTTATGTTTGCACACATTTTAGTTAATCGCTACACTTATTTCCCAGTTTCCTAGAAAAAGTATAAAGACATGAAGGGTATCTCAAGACTTTAGCGTTTCACTGTATATGCCTGCCTGTTATTTTTATAAGCTTAAATGCTGTTGTTTTTCTGTAGTTTTTTTTGTAATGATGTACTTTGTGTATGCCTGTCTCCCAAGGTGTCCGTCTCTTCTGAGTTTACACTGCTAGCGGTGGAGTTCATCCTGTGACTCAGTGGTCAGTAGAGGGGCTCCTGAGAGCAAGGACCCGAAACTGTAGCTCCCAGTCCCCTCTTGTCTGTGTGTGAGAGAAAACTTGTATTAAGTCCTGTGGAGACTCCTGGCTTGTCCAGCTTAAGATGTCCTCGATATTGCCATTCACCCCTCCTGTGGTGAAGAGGCTTTTGGGCTGGAAGAAATCAACTAGCAGCCCGGGAGGAGCGGGCGGCGCAGAACAGAACGGACAAGAGGAGAAATGGTGCGAGAAGGCCGTGAAGAGCTTAGTGAAGAAGCTGAAGAAGACGGGTCAGCTAGATGAGCTCGAGAAGGCCATCACCACACAGAACTGTAACACAAAGTGTGTTACCATCCCCAGGTACAATAATACTGCTGATTGTTGGTGATTCTGCTTTTTCATGTTTCTGTGACTAAAAGCTTTTATTATATTTGCTGTTAGACAGTTTGCATTAGTCCCATGGGAGAGAAACTCTGAAAGCTCAATTGATGTGGATCTTTGTCAGCCAGCCTTCATGACCCAGACTTGCATTCAGTGGGAACACCGTGTTAACAGACATCTTTCAATGATGTTCCACCAAGTACCACATCAAATGTTTGGATGTCTATAGATAACTGTTTTTTTTTTTATCTCCTGAGAGTTGTTCTAGGACATTTAGGTTTTAGTGATAGAGTGACTGGCTCAGTGTGAATGAAATGGTATCTACGTCAGCTAAAAGTAATGTCATTCAAGCAGCTGTACTTATACTGGTTTGTTTTATAGCGTTTAGTGACTTTGATAGGTGTCACGTTGACATTAGGTTGCAATCATGCAGTTTCCTGCAGTAGAAATTGCTAATAACACAACTTGATATTATGAGCTAAAAGTTTCTGGGGTAAGTGGACTAAAATGGATTTCCAGCTTTGTCTTGAGCCAGACGACTCCAACTTTAAATGTCAGTTTAGAGATCCCACTGCAATCACGAAGTCTAATGCATGTTGTTGTGTATTTTTAGCTTATAATGCGTAGCATCTGTTATTGTCCTGTTATTCAGAAGCAACTACTCTCCATTTGTCTTAATTTCACATTTCTCTGCCCATTTTCTTGTCAGTGTTTTGAGAATGGAAAGGTTTTTTCTTCTTTTTCTTTTTTGCCAAGGTTGCCACCCCTTCTCTTGTGCCACTGTGTTCCTTCAGTGTTTGTTTGAATGTCTCCAGATAAGTTCTGACATAAACAATCATAGTGAAAGAGTTATTTTCAGTGTTTGATACAATGCCACAATGTGAAGAATGCCCTTTGTCTCACTCATTGTGCGTGCTAGCAAATTCCATGTTTGGGTTTTGCTTTTTTTCTCTCTCCCTTGATTCGGTTGAAAAAGGCTTCTCTTATTTGAAGTTCCCATCTTTCATTTTCAGAGCTGAAATTTGATGTCTTTCTTTTGCCATGAGACTCCAATAAAAGAGGCCTTTTAGTGTTTACATACCCATACTGATATTTCTGAATGAGTCATGTCCCATGTTTATCATTTGTTTTTTGTTTTTGTTTTTGTTGTTTTCTCTGTGTGCAGCAATTGCTCTGAAATATGGGGACTGAGTACACCAAATACGATAGAACAGTGGGATACATCAGGCCTTTACAACTACCCTGACCAAACCAGGTGACTATCTCAACTATTGTGTATACAACTTTGATGTGGGAGAGTTGTCATCATAGTGTTGGAGGTGACGGTTGCTGAGAACATCCTTGTTTCTCGTCAATCCATCTCCATTACCTCTCCTACCTGGCCATATTATGTATCACTCCTCCCCCTCTACCTCCCCTGTGTTCTGCCCCTCTCACCACCGTCTCCTGTTTGCTGTTCAATCAGATCCTTGGACGGCCGTCTCCAGGTCTCCCACAGGAAGGGCCTTCCCCATGTTATCTACTGCCGTTTGTGGCGATGGCCAGACCTTCACAGCCACCACGAGCTGCGTGCCATTGAGGCCTGTGAGTATGCCTTTCACCTCAAGAAGGACGAAGTCTGCATCAACCCTTACCACTACCAGAGGGTGGAGACCCCAGGTGAGCCAAATCATGCCGTTTGAATGTGAGAAGTTGTAATGAATGGTGAGCGGCAACATTTTAAAGCCATTTTTCAAAATATGTAAATCTCTTCTGGTAACTTTTCCCCAACACTTCAGTGCTGCCTCCTGTTCTCGTGCCAAGACACTCAGAAATCCTGCCAGAGCTGCCACCTCTAGATGACTACACTCATTCCATACCTGAGAACACAAATTTTCCAACAGGAATCGAACCTCCAAACAACTATATACCAGGTGAGTTTGCTTCTTGTATTTACATCATGTCGGGAAAGAAAATGTGATTTGAGAGAAGACATGCTTTCAAGATTTGTTCAAGATCACTTTTTTTGTGTGTGTTTCAACAGAAACACCTCCACCAGG